GCAAGTTTCAATTTTAATTATCAATAACTGAAAGTAGGAAATGGGGCAAGATGAGCAAAGGGGGAGTAGCACTAAGGGCTAGCAATCCCTGAATGATGAAGAGTATAGGGATGAACCATGTGCATTATGATGTACCCTATGGTATGATACAGCAGACATTCACAAGAGGTGAGGATCTAATACTGGGAATAGGGGGTGTTGTATTTCAGTTAAAACAGTGTAGCCTATAAATTTAAAAAAATCAGGAGATGAATGATGGGGTGGCTCACACTAGCCAGAACAAGTGCAGAAGGAAAGAGAAAAACCAAAACAAAGCAGAGCTGCCCTGAGGCTGAGAATTCAGCTATGTTTTCTGCTGGCCTGTGATTTAAGATGTTAAAAAAAAAAGGGCAGTCTTGAAAAACTTTGGATTTGAATTAAGAATGAGGCCATTTCAACTGGATGTCTCTCTATTCCAGTAAGTTCTGTGGGAGTGAGGGTTCTACTGCCTTCCAGAAACATTTTCTTGGAAGGTTAGAGTTTGGGTATATGTGACTAGGATGCTGGAATAATATATTAGAATCACATGGCATGAGATTGCTTCGTGTTCAAAGGGTAACTAGGTTTTTATTGTCTGCACAATTCCAACGAGATTCCATGAGGTGTTGAATAAATTCCATCTGTCTTTGTAGTCTGCAGCATTCCAGAATCTGCTGAATTCTCTTGGGAACGGCTCAGAAGTTGATTACTTTTCTTTGTAGAGTGAAGGGATACTCTTTGCAGGGGTAAGTGGGAGTTTATTCAGAATGCTTCACTGGAAGCGAGTTATCTGATGGGGAGACAATCATAAATACAAGGAAAAAAAAGTATTTGCATTGCAGAGCTACTTTGTGTATGTGATTAGATGAAAGAAAACGAGCTCATTGTGTAGTAGAGTGGCATGTCTTGGGGGCAGTGCTTCGACTCTGTTTCATAGGCAGTGCGTATGTGAAACCCAAAAATTTAAACTGGCTCCATGGGCGAATAGCAATGGGGAAAGGAAAAAAATATATTGAGAAAGTAAACTATAAGTAAACCCACACACCTTTGACGAGATCGTTATTAAGTCGTTGTAGCTTAGCACCTTGTTGCGTCATCTTCATTTAAGATGCACTGATGTAAAACTTCAATCAAGAAAAGAAAAGAGAACCGGACAGACTGGAATGCAATCGAAATCACGTGCTTCTTGAAGTCAAGAGAGTGGCGCCAAGGCCAATCGCATGGAGGCAGCCATGTTGAGCAGCAATGCCATTTCAGCAGCTGCGCCTCCCCCCTCCGGCCTCCCGAACATTCAACATGGCGTCTACCTGATGCTAGTGTTGTTTGTTTCTTTCAGTCGGCGAGTGTATAACCGTCTGCTGGTAGGCTGAAGCCCCTTGTTATAGGTATAGGCCTATGCCTAACGTTTGGCCTATGTATTGGGGGGTTCTTGCGCTCGGAAAGATCTGTATTGATTTCTGTTGTCTTTGTTGTCGAATGTTTATTTGTTCATTGCCTTGTTGATTGTATTTCCCAATTGTCTGTTTTAATTGTAGGCCTAGGCCTCATAGTTAACAAAGAACTAGCGTTAAGGTCTTTCTGACGGATTGGCAAATACTTAAATAAATGTTATTCTTTTCCAAAGAAGAAATGAAGGGAGTGAAATGAGGGCAGATTCTGTGAGCATCCACTCAGCTCAGGAAGAAGATTCATCCCCAATGATTGGGGGTTGCTGTGTCTGCTCCGAGGAGAACGGATCCCCGGAGAATCCCCTCGTCTACTGTGATGGCAAAGGATGTAGTGTTGCTGTGCATAAAGGTTGGTGTAGACTTGAATTAAATCCAGAGCATTCAGAACAGTGTATAATCCCTACCTTAAGGAATGTTGTATGAATAAGCCTAATTTTTAGAATGCATAAACATTGCCAACGTGCATTAATCTTTCAATTCCAGCTTGCTATGGTATAGTGGAAGTTCCGCCTGGAGAGGATCCTTGGTATTGTCGAAAGTGTGAAGAAGGAGTTTGCAAAGCAGTGAGTTGATTGACATAGTTTTTTATTTGAACACA